CAGCACTTGGAGAACCAAGAAACTACAGGCGACAGAGCTGCCAAACTCTTTAAAACTGAGCACATGCCAACTGAGATTTTTTAAACACTTGTGAAAGTAAAAGGCATTGCACCGGGACCAGTACAACGGCTATCCACTTGTTCTATTTCTAGCTGTTGCTCCACAGCACAGACACAGTAAAACTCAATGAAAAAGTTAAAAATTATGACAGTCAAACATTTTTTTTTTAAAGCTAGACTCAGTTTAAGAACTGTCTGGATGGAATTTTCTTAAAACCTTTTTAAAGCAAGTTACATGGAAAATTTCAGACAGAATGATTATTCTTTGGCAAAGTTACTTGTAACTGAAAACAGGACCTTAGAAAGGGAAACACTGGGCAACACGAATTCAGAAAAGTACTTCCAAGTCAATATCAGTATAATAACTGAAATTGCACAAGTAGTCTGGGTGGTTAAAGCATAGGGGAAACACAGGTTCTAAATTAAGCATTTATTTATGTTTATGTTTTTTGAATACTTCACCATTAAAAGCATTATATTAAAACTATTTCAAAAATGCAAAGATTCACAACAACTTTTCTAACTCACACGCTCTACTGTTCCCTTTTATAGCCGGCAGTCAATCAACGGAGCAAAGACCTAGCTAAAACTGATGGACTCTAAATGATAACCTCTCCTTCTTTTACACTGGAAGCCTACATAATAGAGGTCACTTGACAGCACTTCCACAGTTCGCCTTAGCTGTCTCATCACCTTTAGCCTCTGACTATATTTATAAACAAGCAAACTCCTCCTAACTTTGACAACACAGAAGTATGTTCTCTGTGTCCAGAACTGCCTTTTGCCAGACAGTATACTGCTCTTCTCCTTTCTGTAAGAAAATCAATGTGGGATATATTGCAAGTATCTGATCAGTTTTCAGAAATCCAAAGTATCTTCCTCTGACACTCTTGACCCCTTGCAATGTGAACTCCATTTTCCGCTCATCTCAGTGATTACACTTGGTTATACAGCCTTTTAGAAGAATGTGGTGCATTGTCACCTTTCTGAATGTACCATCAGTATCAGAATTCACTGAAATTCTTTCTCTTCCCAGCACCACCTTGTTCTAGCCTTGGTTTCATGTAACCGAGACAAATGAAGTATACAGCTCATGTGAAGAGAATCATGGAAGAAAACACTCTCCAAAGCTATACCACTGAGTGTACCACACAGTAGAAACACAGCAGATTAGTACTTCCATTTCAGGTGATACTTCTTACACATGTAACCGGTTTGTATATATCATGGGTTGGGAAACATGCATTGGCTTACAGACAGTGGTGCATGCAGTTAACTTGGGGATGTATAATGTAGTCTTCCGTCAGCAAAGTAAGATTTTTTAAAAAAATTTGGCTTCTCCAAAGGAACATGGCACAATGCCCACTAGAACAAATGTGGGCATACTGGCTCTTCTGACTGATTCACCCAAATCCCAAATGCAAACCTTTGTGAGAAAGTATTTCTGATATCAACAGTAAATGGTACTATGCAATGCAAATAATTTACTTTTAGTAAGAAGATTTCTGCCTCTGCTGACTAAATAAATTATACTTTATGTCCATAATTACTGGTTGACAATTAGCAAAATTCAACGTTATGTAATGACTAAGAAGTGCACAGAGCCTGAACAGGATACTAGACACACTGGGAACCATCAGATAAAACAATTAACTACCTGAATACCACAAGAAAATCATAGAATATGAAGATTAAGAGATGTCTGCCTCTGTGTGACAGTTGTTGCATATCTGCATTTCTGCATTACGCCCTCAGGGATTCCAAACAAACAGTATGAAACTCAGTTACATGTCGTTACTTCCTGCAGGAACACATCCACTTGATACACAAATACTGGACTGAAAATGCAATTCATAAAAAAGCGGTGTTCACATTATTTGAAATTGGGGTAGTAGGCAGACCACCATCCCAAAACAACTTGTTGCCAGGATTTCAGGAGCAGATCCCAGTTGGAAAAAACAACTGAAGCGGAAGGTTCAAATCAGCAGGCAGGTAAGAGGTCCTCCATCAGCAGGACCAGCTACTACTCCAGCTACTCCAGCTACTCCCTCCATTGGCTACTACTCCATCAGTAGCCAATCCTACCATATGGGGCTTATCAAAGAAAGAAAGTGGCAGGTTGGAGTGGATATCTGCTTTGCTCATTTTCCATTGGTTTAATGTACCTTTGCGTACGAGTTGAAGAAACCTCTTGGCTGTTCTAACTCAGGTCCAGGCCAGACCAGTGCTCTGTTCACCTCCTGATATCCCCAAGGAACCGAACTTGGCTACTGGGGAAAACCGACCTCGTAGGCTCAAAACCCTTCCATGGTATAATTTGTGGTGTTTTCCAGCGTAAAGTGGAATGAAAGTATACATTATTATAGACATATTCAAGAAGTGTTTAGGACTAAGTGCTCCAATTTTTAAGCAGCTTGTTGCACGAAGAGCATAACTAAACTTGCAAAACCCCTTTCCAATCAGTCTTTTTAAAAAATCTCATATAAACACTAGTGCTATTAGCATGGGCACTAATATGGAATCTAAGGAAGAATCCATGTAAATGCAAACTCTGTTTGACTGCAAACTAGTTCCAGTAAGCTCTTACACTAAGCCACAATATCATGCGTGCTTTACATGCCACATACCTTAAAAATATTGGATAAAATACTTAAGATGGCTTCAAAACTTCTTTTTGCATACTTTGATTTCTAGCATTTATCTAGGATCACCTAAGTTGGCAGGTTATCAAGTGAAAAATACAATCTGAATTTTCAAATCAGAGAAATAAATAAGAATTACCGTTCAGAAACCGCATAAAAAATCTAAACAGATTTCATACAAGCAAATCCCAGACATTAAAACTGAATACATTAAGATATGATCTCCTTGTAATATTAAAGGCTTTACTTCATAATCTATAACTTCACAAGACCAAAGGTTTCTCCAGCCCTAGGATTGCACTGATTTATGGGAAAAAACAGCATGGGAAACCTGGAAATATTTCTCTCCCTAGTTTCCTTTTTTTTTTTTTTAATATCTGTCATTTATTGACAGTGCCTGTTTCCAGAAAATTGGTTTTAAGCACACATAAGAGAGAAAAGTTAGTGAATGGAACACCAATGAGGAAAACCATATTTATGATATTATTAATGTAATTCCTTTGGATCTATTGAAATACACAGGCTAAGATTTGGAAATAAGTAAGTACTCTCCATATACTGAAACTGAATTGAATCTGAAAGGAGGCAAAATCAATGCATTTTCACCATGAATCTCTTGTTAGCACCATGCCACAGAGTACTACAAATACAAAGAAGTGACTAGCATCTTTGGTCACTGGCACATTTTTTCTCCACCTCTGCATGTGAAGATTTAATATAGCGTTGTCTTTGTTCCTATCACAGCAACTATCAATTCTGAAAAAACCCTGAAACTAGTTCATAGGCAGTAACATGGATTTCCCATTGATATAGTCACCAAAGTTCACAGAGAAAAAAGGCTGTGTAAAGTGTAAGCTTATCAGTGTGTTTTAAGATGACACAATCAGCAACAGCTTGGTTGTAAGAATCGTGAGCTGCAACTCTTTGAAATTTTCAATTACAACAATCATTTGTTAGAAAATGCACACAAAATATCATATAAAAACATACCATAAATTACAAGCAACCTCTGCTCATTAAGAAATAATTAGAAAACTTTCCACAGGATGAAATTTATGCACGTGCAATTTTATCTGCATGTGCAGATTGTTTAGAATGAACTTATGGATTTTAAAACTGAGATTAAGAAGAGATTAAAAATGTATTTTTTATAAATAATAGCATTATATTACCTTTTCAAAATACCTTTGTTTCTAATGACTGCATTAAGAAAATCTAATTATAATGATACAAGCGCTGCACTTCTTATGATTATGTCAGCTCTTCAATTACTAACTCTTATTCTCCTGAGTGTAACTCAGCAAAAAAGTATTCTGTGTTGAATATTGGCCCATGGTTTCTTCAAAAATGCAACATTAAAGACAGAAACATAATTCTGCTGCTAGGAATGACATACAATTTGAAATTACTATTACGTGCAAATTTTTTACTTCCTTCAAAGGAGCTGGCTGTCTCCAGAGAAAACTGGTTTTCTTGAGAATTTAATAGAATCAATCTCCTAGCACTTAGAAACACTTGATTTCAAGCAGGATTTGGGGAACAGCATTCCACCTTAGCAAATACTTTCCAATGCAATGCAAAGTGATACAAAAGGTTTTGAAATACAGATTTACCTAATCAATCTCCAGTATGTCTGTTGCTCCATAAAGCACATTAAAGATATGTATTAGACACCAAGAACAAAATCCTGCAATTGAGAAAATGCTTGTAAGACAGAAACTTTTCTGAGCTAAACAAAAAAGGACTATGGAGCTACACTATCCACGCTTTTTACAGCTGAGGAACTTAACCCATTAGAAGCAACAAACTTGTGTCAGCATGCAGAAGTTGAGAATTTTTTTTTTTTATACTGTATTAATTTGTGTTCATGATAGCTTAACACCGTTCCAAAACTTTCTTCAACATTCGAGAACGGACACCAATAAGAGGAGCTTGACGATGGCAAGAGGTAACCTACAGTAGCCTACAGAGTACAGCAGACCTGGGCAGCACTGTGAGGGTACTGCAGAGTCACTGTGAGGATCCTCTACATCATTTAGTGGAAACTATCTGTGCTCAACACTGTTTCAAGTTATTTCAACACTGAGTACTCTGCCGTCATTTCCATGGTGTCAGCTTTCCTGCATGTGAAATAAGCACAGGAAACAGGATCTTTCCTGCCCTTGGAAGGGTACTGTGAATTAGTACAACAAAGTTTCCAAAGCACTTTGAGATCCCTGGATAAAGGTGCTGGATGAGTGAGAAAGATCTTTCCGTATGCTGAATTTTTTTTTTTCCCAGAGTATAACTCAGATCTTACTTTGCTTCCAGTGCCAGTGCAATGATGCCTGCAGCCATAGGTGCAGAGGCTGAGGTTCCAGTATGGCTGTCTGTGCAACGCTGCCTCAGGTCTGTGGTGATCTGGAAGAAATTGAATGTGCGAAATTTAGAACACAGCTTCAGAAATCAGAACAGGTTTCATTTGCTTGAATGAGTTGCATGTACATGGCGGGTATTTCCTTCTTTCATTGCAAGGACAGGCAAAAAAAAAGATGTCTGAATACATGACGTTACATGTTCTCAGCTTGAATTCACGTGTGAACTTGGAGAAGTGGTCTCTGTATTGCACTGAGAACATAAATTAGTCTCCATTTTTTTCATGGCATGATCAACAAAAAGAATTGTAAATTAGAAAAACATGTAGAGGGTTTTAAAACTGTATGGTTAGAACTCTGCCCTTCTAATTGCATTTATATAGCACTTTCCATCCAAGAATCTCAAAGTGCTTTACAAACAGGAATGAACTAAATCTTATAGTTCCCCCTATACAGAGACTGGTTATGCCCATTTTAGAGACTATAAAAGAGGTACGGAGGGGTTAATGAGGTTGCCTGAAGTCAGACTGGAAGTATGTGAAAGAACAGAATACAGTTGGGCTCATGCTAAGTACCGTGTTTAATCCTTCCTTCATGCCTTATGCAATAATTCACTTTAAGTTAAGCAACAATTCAATGGAAAGTCCTGATGTAATCAGAAATTTGGCCTAGACATGACCAGCCAGTTAGTGATTTGCAGCTTTAAGTTGTTACGTATTGCTTAACTATATGCTGCCACATATTTTTATATGTAATCTAAGTGGATGTACAAACCATAATGTGCAATACCAACTAGAGGCACAGCCTTCTACTTAGTGTTAGGATGTTCCTATCTCATAACGAGTTTTAGGCAAATTTCTTTTGTAAGACAGTAAATCACACACAAAAAATGTGTTTACTCTAAATTCTGCTTCTTTCAGGTAATGTTAATCTAAAGTGATTCTAATCACAGAATCATTAAGGTTGGAAAAGACCTTTATCTATGCTTTTCTTTCTGAAGAAGTGGTTGCTAGCAAGAGCAAGGCAATACAGACACGCCACCACTACCTAAGAGAAGCTCAAGCAAAACCCACACGGACTGAAGAACAGTTAAGACAGCCATCCATTCACAGCATGGAAACCTCCATGAAGGTGTTAGTGTGAATAAGCTGCGATGCCAAACCTTACTCCCAGCATTTCAGCTGATCCCTGAGATTCAGTCACTAGCAGACATAAAATATCTGCCTGAGGGGCAGACAGGAAGTTGCTTACACAGCTTCTTACCTAAGTATATGAAATTATTGTGTCTCCATTTCATCTAATTCACTAGTATACTTCATTTGCAACACAGATATACACAAAGATGGGAGAAGGAGAGGATCACGGGATTGAAAAATCCTAAAAAAGCACAGGGCATGTAAAAATGGCTGTCTGGTTTTGAAACGGGAAGATATGCAAAAGACGATCTGAAAAACCAGCCACATCCCATCTGGGCAGAATAGAAGCAATTGCATGTAGCAGCTATAGGTTTCACACATTTGCATTAGCCATATTCAGTAGTATATGCATGACGTAATTTGTATAAGGCTGACAAAAGTTTTCATGACATGTAAACATACGCAATCTAGCACAAAAGACTTCTAATAGAGGAGCTGACAGCACCCAGGAAATGACTGTTCAAAGGAAATAGTGAATAAGTGAAACAACAAGGAAGACTCTAGAAGTTGAAGAAGATGGATTAAATAATTTATAATGTCGTATCCTTACATTAGTGAACTTACCAAAGGCCAGACTCAAGACTAATGACGTCTAGAAAGAACTTTTTTCCCTATTATTTAATGTACACCTTGTTAAACAATTTATGTCTCATCAGTTAAAAGTTGAACACCATAAATAAAAATTTCACATAATTTCTTTATCTCTTGCCTTCCCTCCTACTGTCTGTGTATTAGTTTAGGCAATGAAAATTAATAGTGTTGGAAAAACCTTTATGCATGCAAATTCCATAAATGCCCTGACAATATTAAGAGATGAAACTGCTACAGGAACAGCCCTAACACTATGCTGCCTATATGTGCAAATGCAAGCAGTGATTTTGCAGGTGGGATTAACATGGCCAAGGATGACATGTACCTGAATAGAAACACACAAGATTCAGGTACTCCATCTGGAAAAACACCAGTCAGTGCTGTGACAAGGAGTGGGAGGGAGGCCAGGAAAAAGAGAGGGCAGAAAAAGGGACTAATACATGCTTCTCTCTTTCGTAGCCTGGTACCTTGTCCCCTGCAAAAAAGTGGTGCAGCAGGTGCCCTCCTCAGAGAACCAAAGGGTAGCAAAGCTCAGGCAGGGAGAACTGCCCTCAGAGCAGCTTATCCTTAAGAGACAGCCTCTCTCAACACAGTGGAAAGCACACGGCATTGTGCTATCCCTGTTTCCCATCCTCTGGAAGAACATGCTTCCAGAGTGTCTTTACTGTCCTGTAGCTATACATATCAAGCACGATAAACCATGACACCTCTTTATTTTGCAACGTTGTCTCTCACATTCTAAGTTGATGTTGAGGCAGCAGTTTGAACTACAGACCCTTATCTCTCTCTTTCACTCAGCAAACATTTCAGCAGAAAAT